TAACAATTCTGTCTGTCCCTGAGTAAAAATTCTGTGGCCCTAAGTAAAGTTTTCTGTGGCCCTGAGTAACAATTCTGTGTCTGTGCGAGTAACAATTCTGTGGCCCTAAGTAACAGTTCTGTGGCCCTCAGTAACAGTTCTGTGTCTGTGCGAGTAACAATTCTGTGTCTGTGCGAGTAACAATTCTGTGGCCCTAGTAACAGTTCTGTGGCCTTCAGTAACAATTCTGTGTCTGTGCGAGTAACAATTCTGTGTCTGTGCGAGTAACAATTCTGTGGCCCTAAGTAAAGTTTCTGTGGCCCTAAGTAACAATTCTCTGGCACTCAGTAACAATTCTGTGTCTGTCCCTGAGTAACAATTCTCTGGCACTCCGTAACAATTCTGTCTGTCCCTGAGTAACAATTCTCTGGCCCTCAGTAACAGTTCTGTGGGCCTCTGAAGTAACATTCTGTGGGCCCTCAAGTAACAGTTTCTGGTGTCTGGTGCTGAGTAAAACAATTCTGTGGACTCAGTAACAATTCTGTCTGTCCCTGAGTAACAATTCTCTGGCACTCAGTAACAATTCTGTCTGTCCCTGAGTAAAAATTCTGTGGCCCAGTAAAGTTTCTGTGGCCCTGAGTAACAATTCTCTGGCACTCCGTAACAATTCTGTCTGTCCCTGAGTATGAATTCTGTGGCCCTAACTAGCGTTTCTTTGTCCCTAAGTAACAGTTCTGTGGCCCTGAGTAACAATTTCTGTCTGTCTGTGCGAGTAACAATTCTGTGGCCCTAAGTAACAGTTCTGTGGCCCTCAGTAACAGTTCTGTGTCTGTGCGAGTAACAATTCTGTGTCTGTGCGAGTAACAATTCTGTGGCCCTAAGTAACAGTTCTGTGGCCTTCAGTAACAATTCTGTGTCTGTGCGAGTAACAATTCTGTGTCTGTGCGAGTAACAATTCTGTGGCCCTAAGTAAAGTTTCTGTGGCCCTAAGTAACAATTCTCTGGCACTCCGTAACAATTCTGTCTGTCCCTGAGTAACAATTCTGTCTGTCCCTGAGTAAAAATTCTGTGGCCCTAAGTAAAGTTTCTGGGGCCCTGAGTAACAATTCTCTGGCACTCAGTAACAATTCTGTCTGTCCCTGAGTAACAATTCTCTGGCACTCAGTAACAATTCTGTCTGTCCCTGAGTAAAAATTCTGTGGCCCTAAGTAAAGTTTCTGTGGCCCTAAGTAACAATTCTCTGGCACTCAGTAACAATTCTGTCTGTCCCTGAGTAACAATTCTCTGGCACTGAGTAACAATTCTGTCTGTCCCTGAGTATGAATTCTGTGGCCCTAACTAGCGTTTCTTTGTCCCTAAATAACGATTCTGTGGCCCTCATTAACAAGTCTGTGTCCCTGAGTAATGGTTCTCTGTCCCTAAGTAACTTTTCTCTGTCCCCAATTATCGTTTCTGTGGCCCTAACTCTGTCCCTGTCCCTAGTACAGAGCGGTCTGCCTTCTGTTCAATGACTGCAGGCAAATGAAGAATTCCAAAATGGCCGCTATTTATAGCTCGACCATTACACAGTGCTGGCTGGCTGGCTGCTGATTGGCTGATGCGATCACATGTAGTTGAGGAATGCATTATGGGTCAGCGCGCCTTGTCTGCGCGCCTTCCCAGACATCCCCGCTCCGTCGCCGCACATGTCAGCCGCCATTTTCTGAAAAATTTCGATTCGCGCGTCCGAATTAGGCTATTTTTCGGATTCGGCACGAATCTAAATTTTTCCGATATTCGACTCGAATTCCACTTCGGATACTTCAATTCGCTCATCTCTATTCACAAACGCTCTCCATCCAATATGACAGAGCTTGAGCTATTTTGCAAAGAAGAATGGGCAAAACTTTTATTGTCTAGATGTACAAAGCTGGTAAAGACATCCCCAAAAAGACTTGCAGCTGTAATTGCAGCGAAAGGTGGATCTGCAAAGTATTGACTCAGATAGACTGAATACAAATGCACACCACACTTTCCAGATATTTATCATTTTCCATCTACTTCACAAATATGTGCCACTATATGTTGGTCTATCACATAAAATCCCAATAAAATGCATTTACATTTTTGGCTGTAACATGACAATATGTGGAAAATTTCAAGAGGTATGAATACTTTTTCAAGGCACTGGATATTGAAGTGATATACTGCATTTTAATACCCAGCTTAGTATAGGGAGAACCAGTAGCAAACCCAGAATTTAGTCTGTACAATTTATTTTCTACAGATCTTAAAAAACTCTGCATACATTGTAGTTGTGTTTACAGGATTTCATAACATGATTACGAATGGGCTACAACAGACAGACTGAATGCAAACCACTCTTAAATAGCTGACTGATCAGATCTGCAGATGCATGTGACATACTATATACTCCATCACTTTTACATTTGAAAATTTAAAGGTTTAGTTCACCTTTGCAATAAGATTTCCAATGTATTCTAGCATCGCCAGTACATTAAATACAATGCTTGGTTTTTGAAAAGATGATTATTTTCCCAAGCCCGTCTGAAAACCTCCCGCTTCAGTCCTGCCTAGATGGCAAATAAGGATCTTCACTAGGACACCTTGGTATTGTGATAACTTAATGCGAATAAAGGACAAAATTAACAATCATCACAGTCCAACCGTTCGGGACCTTGCAGGATCTCTTTTTTAAGGCAGAGTGAAAAAGGTCCTGAAACATCGGCCTGTGATGCCTGTTACTTTATGTGAATAAAGGACACAATTATCATCATACTAAGGGTGTGCTGGTGAAAATCCACATTTTTCTGTGATTGCTTGGAGACATCACCCACCAATTCACTACACAAACTGTGGGCAGGCCTGCAAGGAGTGCCACACATACAGTCAGGTCCATAAATATTGGGAAATCGACACAATTCTAACATTTTTGGCTCTATACACCACCACAATGGATTTGAAATGAAACGAACAAGATGTGCTTTAACTGCAGACTGTCAGCTTTAATTTGAGGGTATTTCCATCCAAATCAGGTGAACGGTGTAGGAATTACAACAGTTTGCATATGTGCCTCCCACTTGTTAAGGGATCAAAAGTAATGGGACAATTGGCTTCTCAGCTGTTCCATGGCCAGGTGTGTGTTATTCCCTCATTATCCCAATTACAATGAGCAGATAAAAGGTCCAGAGTTCATTTCAAGTGTGCTATTTGCAGTTGGAATCTGTTGCTGTCAACTCTCAAGATGAGATCCAAAGAGCTGTCACTATCAGTGAAGCAAGCCATCATTAGGCTGAAGAAACCAAATAAACCCATCAGAGAGATAGCAAAAACATTAGGCGTGGCCAAAACAACTGTTTGGAACATTCTTTAAAAGAAGGAACGCACCGGCGAGCTCAGCAACACCAACCCGGAAGACCACGGAAAACAAATGTGGTGGATGACCGAAGAATTCTTTCCCTGGTGAAGAAAACACCCTTCACAACAGTTGGCCAGATCAAGAACACTCTCCAGGAGGTAGGTGTATGTGTGTCAAAGTCAACAATCAAGAGAAGACTTCACCAGCGTGAATACAGAGGGTTCACCACAAGACGTAAACCATTGGTGAGCCTCAAAAACAGGAAGGCCAGATTAGAGTTTGCCAAACGACATCTAAAAAAGCCTTCACAGTTCTGGAACAACATCCTATGGACAGATGGGACCAAGATCAACTTGTACCAGAGTGATGGGAAGAGAAGAGTATGGAGAAGGAAAGGAACTGCTCATGGTCCTAAGCATACCACCTCATCAGTGAAGCATGGTGGTGGTAGTGTCATGGCGCGTGGGCATGTATGGCTGCCAATGGAACTGCTTCTCTTGTATTTATTGATGATGATGTGACTGCTGACAAAAGCAGCAGGATGAATTCTGAAGTGTTTCGGGCAATATTATCTGTTCATATTCAGCCAAATGCTTCAGAACTCATTGGACGCCGCGTCACAGTGCAGATGGACAATGACCCAAAGCATACTGCAAAAGCAACCAAAGAGTTTTTTAAGGGAAAGAAGTGGAATGTTATGCAATGGCCAAGTCAATCACCTGACCTGAATCCGATTGAGCATGCATTTCACTTGCTGAAGACAAAACTGAAGGGAAAATGCCCCAAGAACAAGCAGGAACTGAAGACAGTTGCAGTAGAGGCCTGGCAGAGCATCACCAGGGATGAAACCCAGCGTCTGGTGATGTCTATGCGTTCCAGACTTCAGGCTGTAATTGACTGCAAAGGATTTGCAACCAAGTATTAAAAAGTGAAAGTTTGATTTATGATTATTATTCTGTCCCATTACTTTTGGTCCCTTAACAAGTGGGAGGCACATATGCAAACTGTTGTAATTCCTACACTGTTCACCGATTTGGATGTAAATACCCTCAAATAAAAGCTGACAGTCTGCAGTTAAAGCACATCTTGTTCGTTTCATTTCAAATCCATTGTGGTGGTGTATAGAGCCAAAAATGATAGAATTGTATCGATGTCCCAATATTTATGGACCTGACTGTACAATATATCTACTGTCTAGAGAGCAAGATTCAACAGACATTGGTTATGGGTTCACAGAAACAGGCAATCTGGCTTGTTCAATGTTTGCATGTGCGGTGCAGTCTCTCCCCATCTGTCACACAATGCTGAGCTCAGCCTCTTCATGCGACAAAGGGACAGAGCACACTGTGCATGCACGGGTTTTATTTGAACAAACCAAAGCAGTTGTTTCTGTGAATCTGGGGGCACACACTCAGCATCCGGTACATCTTGGCAAGCTGGGAGAGGGGGTCACCTACCTAGAAGTTTATTCCTAACAGGTTTAGGAGAGGCCACACCAACCTACATGTGTGACATAGAAAAGAGTAGTCATTTCCAAAACCTGAGTAGCTTTTATTTTGTATTGGAAACGCTGGAGTACATGAGAAATTTTTTGAACTAGCCCTTTAATGCTGCATTATAGAGTCTATTTTAGAATTATATTCCCTATTCAGCACCAACTTACTGAGCTGTAAATTGATTATGGCAGCAGATTTCCCCGTGGTCAGTGACCAGACATTAAGATCTTCTACAGAGTATACATCTTCTATTTTCATCAGGTCATGTTTGATTTGATCCACATTCAGGTGTCTCGGAACTCCTGGAATAAAGTAAAGAATGATTTCATAAGTTGGGACATACTTGTGTAAACATGTTCTGTATATAATGCAGGTCTAAATTTTTTATAGTTTAATCATAAACTGACACTCCCCACAGAATAATTGCACAATAGCCTTCTTGTGTAAGAGGATTACTGCAATCAATGATCCTTTATTGTCAGAGAATGTCACAACAGTCTTAATAATGTAAAACTCTGAACATGTCATATTAAAAAAGATTGTAACTGTTTATAGGAGTCTGCTCACCTTCAAGTATTATAAGTACGGTGTCTCGTATAAGCCTCAGGGTAGTAAAGATGACAAGTACAGAAAATACGTAGGTACAGATTGGATCGGCAATCTTGTATTCTGGCTGAAAAGATAAAATTATCCATTACATGCTCTGTGATTTTGCTTTTCAGAATACATAAAATATATAATAAAAATAATTTAAAATGATACAAGGTCAGATCTAGACAAGGCCTATTATTTTTGGTCACTTTCCTAGTAGAAGGGAAGTGGAAATTAATAGTTACCCTATTCTGTAAGTCTGCAAATCTTTAACACTTTCATGACTGCAACTCAGGCAAAGGGCAACTGACTAGCCACCTGTATTGCCTGTGCTCTCCATGCAGCTGACTTTCCCACCCCCCCTCCCATTACAAACTCACTGTGCTTTGTTATGCACTATATCTTTCTGTGCAGGTAGCTGTCTTGATAAAGTCAGGGTATTGCTTCCTCAAGCCAGGCTCTCCAGCAAGGAGAACAGTGAGAAGCACTTCTGACATTAGCAGTCAGAGGCAGTAGTGCCTAAGATCTCACGCTGCACAAATACAACTATGACACTGTTAAAGAAGGAAATGACATCTACTAAGTAAGCTTTAAATATTGCCTTCCCTCTTCCTTTACTAAAGCAGCACATTGGTTCTAATAATAGGCAGTTTAAATTCTTTAAAATATGTTTCCTGGTCGTCACATCACTACTGCAAAAGCAGGGCGGGGAATTCCCAGAACAGTGATGTCACCCCATCAGTGCCAATGTTCAGGGCGTTGTTGAGGCCTCCTACTGCTCTGGTAATTCTTCATCGTGTTACTGTTATGAGAATTCTTCACCATCAGGTATTGCAGCAGCCACAAAGGACCCAAAACTGTGCTGTCATGTAACTGCAAAGATACAGAATTTAAAAAAAATGTATGTATACTGCTTGTTATTAAAAACATAATGCAGCATTAGTAAAGAAAGAGGGAAGGCAACATTGAAAACTAACTTGGTAGAAAACATTTACTTCTACTTTAACACAGAAGTGCCTGGGCACCCTAACATACAAGAAGTGCACTGCTATCTTTCAGAAAATTCAAGTCACTTGAGGGCACTGCATAGGCACATATCTAGATGTTCCTAATATATCGATCTTTATTTTTTGAGTTTGGTTTCACTTCAAGGGCCTATTCACACCAGGTGTGGTGGGTGTGCACTGGACAAGTACAGCATGCAGTGACAAAGCACAACGCAACCCACCACCTTGAACTGCATCCAACAGAAATGAAAGAAAAGTCACTTTGACATTTCAAAAAAATTCACAAAAAAAAAAACAACAGTGTCATGCACTGGGACTGGTACATTAGCAATGCCTTCACCCTACCACATATCAGCGGCTGCATGCTAGCACAGAAGCTGCTGTGAATGGGTCCTAATAAAACCCCTACTCTGTTTTTCCCTATTAAAGGCTGACAATTATTCAAGGAAAGAAAAAGAACACAATCTCTGTGTTCAAAGCAGACCTTCACCCAAAAAGGGAGGTTCCACCTGTCTGCATCCTCCCACCTCCACTGTCACATCTGGCAGTTTTTGTTGTGGTTTCTTTTTGGGGGGGGGGGGGGGTGGTAACCTGGTTTTGACATCACCATCATTGCAGCACCACAGTGGTCTGAGCCAGAAGTTTGCTCCCCCCCCCTTCCAGGAAAATTTACAGGTCCCAGAAGACAGTGGGGCCATTCAAAAAGCACAGGGCTTCACTTCTGGTTTCCCTTACTGATGCCGACACCAGCACCCAAAGCAGATTGAAAAATCAGCTCAGGTGAGGACATCACTGGATCCCCGGACAGGTAAGTGTCCTTTTCTTAAAAGTCAGCAGCTACAGAATTTGTAGCTGCTGACTTAATTTTTTTTTTGTGCCAACCTGGAGCTCAGTTTTAACAAATGAATACTGTAACCTCAGGTTGTTGGCTTATTTTGTCAATGAATCCTGCAACATGAATGTAGCCATTTTGTCACAGCTGACACAATGATCACATGATCGGGAATTATGATTGGTTTGCAATTACTAACTGACCCTGAAGCTGCGACAACCAGGACTGAGAACCACCAGCTGCACACAGGGCACACGGTTGGCTCTCCAAGGAAGGAGGTTTATCAACGTATTCCAAGCCTGAGGCAATCTATGTAGAACTTTTATGTAGAGATTGCAGATAGGAAGGAGTTAAAAGGAAAACTGTACTTTTAAAACACATTAGCTCTCTCAATAAGGACACCCAACAACTTTCCAAATATATCCTGTCATCGCTGCCTTTTCTTTTCCTGTGCTCTGAGAGCTGTGCACACAGGCAAATACAGCTAGAAACATTTGTCTCCATTCTGCCGGTGACTAATCAACAGTACAATGCTCAGCAAATTGGTTCAAAGTGATTGTCATCATTTGCTCCCAAGAGACATATATTAAATGTTACATACAGCACTCCAAGCAAGGTGACTAAACAAAGCAAAGCCTTGGCCTGTAACCAGAGCTCTCAAAAGCACAAGTAAATGAAAGGCAAAAGGTTGTATTTTCTAAGTTGTTTGATATCCCTTTGTATATTAAAGTAGCTAATGTGTTAAGTTATCCCCGAAGTGAAAACAATCCACACTAGACACTACTGTTAGGAGACAGGTGACCTTTCTTCTCCAGGCTGATTAATGCAGAAATAAACTCAAAACATTAGTTTGCAGCTTACCAATTCTTAGATGTGATAGCTGCATTCACCACCAATAGGGGACAGATAACCGCAGGCCATTCACCACCAATAGGGGACAGATAACCGCAGGCCATTCACCACCAATAGGGGACAGATAACCGCAGGCCATTCACCACCAATAGGGGACAGATAACCGCAGGCCATTCACCACCAATAGGGGACAGATAACCGCAGGCCATTCACCACCAATAGCGGATAGATAACCGCAGGCCATTCACCACCAATAGGGGACAGGCAGCCATAACCCAATAGGGGACAGATAACCGCAGGCCATTCACCACCAATAGGGGACAGATAACCGCAGGCCATTCACCACCAATAGGGGACAGATAACCGCAGGCCATTCACCACCAATAGGGGACAGATAACCGCAGGCCATTCACCGCCAATAGGGGACAGATAACCGCAGGCCATTCACCACCAATAGGGGACAGATAACCACAGGGCATTCACCACCAATAGGGGACAGATAACCACAGGCCATTCACCACCAATAGGGGATAGATAACCGCAGGCCATTCACCACCAATAGGGGACAGATAACCGCAGGCCATTCACTACCAATAGGGGACAGATAACCGCAGGCCATTCACCACCATAGGGGACAGATAACCGCAGGCCATTCACCACCAATAGGGGACAGATAACCGCAGGGCATTCACCACCAATAGGGAGACAGATAACCACAGGGCATCACCACCAATAGGGGATAGATAACCGCAGGCCATTCACCACCAATAGGGGACAGATAACCGCAGGCCATTCAGCTACCAATAGGGGACAGATAACCGCAGGCCATTCACCACCAATAGGGGACAGATAACCGCAGGGCCATAGGGGACAGATAACCGCAGGGCCATTCCACCAATAGGGGACAGATAACCGCAGGGCATTCACCACCAATAGGAGACAGATAACCGCAGGGCATTCACCACCAATAGGAGACAGATAACCGCAGGCATTCACCACCAATAGGGGACAGATAACCGCAGGGGCCATTCAGCTACCAATAGGGGACAGATAACCGCAGGCCATTCAGCTACCAATAGGGGGACAGATAACCGCAGGCCAGGCCATTCAGATAACCGCGCCAATCAGGGGAAAGATAACCGCAGGCCATTCACCGCCAATAGGGGACAGATAACCGCAGATAACCACAGGCCATTCACCACCAATAGGGGACAGATAACCGCAGGCCATTCACACTACCAATAGGGGACAGATAACCACAGGCCATTCACCACCAATAGGGGACAGATAACCACAGGCCATTCACCACCAATAGGGGACAGATAACCGCAGGCCATTCACTCACCACCAATAGGGGACAGATAAACCGCAGGCCATTCACCACCAATAGGGGACAGATAACCGCAGGCCATTCACACCAATAGGGGACAGATAACCGCAGGCCATTCACCACCAATAGGGGACAGATAACCGCAGGCCATTCACCACCAATAGGGGACAGATAACCGCAGGCCATTCACAGCTACCAATAGGGGACAGATAACCCGCAGGCCATTCACCGCAGGCCATTACCAATAGGGGACAGATAACCGCAGGCCATTCACCACCAATAGGGGACAGATAACCGCAGGCCATTCAGGCCTACCAATAGGGGGACAGCATGGCCATAACTACCGCAGGCCATATCACCACCAATAGGGGACAGATAACCGCAGGCCATTCACCTACCTAACCGCAGGCCATTCACCAATAGGGGACAGATAACCGCAGGCCATTCACCACCAATAGGGGACAGATAACCGCAGGCCATTCAGCTACCAATAGGGGACAGATAACCGCAGGCCATTCAGCTACCAATAGGGGACAGATAACCGCAGGCTTCAGCTACCAAAACAGATAAAGCTATCAGAAAAATAACATTCGCATAAACTGCAATGACAGATATCAAACAGATCTGTTTCAAACGTAAAGCTATGCATAAAAACTAGATTCGCTCCTGTTTATAAAAATCATCTAGTCAACCTCTGTTTAAAATCTATTATAACAAACTCCTGAAACAATTTTTTCTATTGAGCATATTATATAAAATCTCTCTAGGTGATTGCAATGCTGTTTTATGTAATTGCAACGCAAATTCACATTGAGCCAAAATGTCAGAATGTAGGTGAAAGGTTTCATTGCAGTTCTTCCGATGCATCCTGAAGGAAGGGCTGTGTGAATGTGATCAGGAACACACAATGCAATGAAAAAAGATGCTGTTATATATATCATGGAACGGTTATCCATGACACACTCCCTCCTTGCCAACAAATTCATCTCAGCAAAACAGATCGCAGAGTGGATACAGACCTTATATTGTCTATGCTTAACCCCTTGACGCCGACGTAACACAAATATGCGGCCTCACAGAACTGGGCTTTTTTCCGTGGGGCCGCATTTTGTGTACCTGTCTTTGTGCTGGGAGCGCTCCGCACGGCGCGCTCCCAGCACAAAGACCGCCGTGTCACTGAGAGCACCGAGTCCCATTCTAACAATCGGGACCCGGAACTCCTGATTCCGGGTCACATGATTGCTGTGATAGCCTCTGATTGGCTATCACAGTGATCAGTCACTGTACAGCCCGGCCCCCTTGTTTGCTTCTCTATGAAAGGAGGAGAGAGATACATTGTATCTCTATAACTCCTGGCATAGAGAGAAAAAAAATTTTGTAAAAAAAGATAAATATATATAAAAAAATTTATAAAAATAAAGAAAAAAATACCTAGATGAAGGTGATCTAGTTCAGTGCCAGGGTAGGTGTTTGGGTCAAGGTCAAAAGGCCGGGTCAAAGGTCAGGTGGCAGTGTGTTTTCGGTAAAAAAAAAAAAAAAAAAAAAAAAAAGACAAAAACAAAATGTGCACTATTGTTTCTGGGCTGTACTACGGGTACAAACAAAAAATAACATACACATATATGGTATCGCTGTGATCGCCAAGAGCTGGAGAATTTATTTTGGGTTGTTCTGTGGTGGTAGGTTATGGTAGTAACAAGAAACACACCGCTAAATAAAAAAGGTTTTTGCTATTATTTTGGGCCAGTTTTCATTTGATAATAAAAAAATAAAATCAGGCGATATCCATTACCATTTACCACCAAATGAAAGCCCAAATTTGTCCTGCAAAAAACGCGGTATAATTCACCTGGATGTACAAAGTAGTTGTGATGATATGTCCGGTTTTACAAACACATGTCAACGTTTCAAAATTGTGCTTAGGCATTATGATTTGTTTTCCCCTTAGGTGTGAAGGGGCTAAGATAACAAGAGTTTTCTGCTTTTAATAATGCATGTTAGCTTCAAAGCTATAAAAAAAATGGCATATCATGTTACATAATAGCCATTTCGCCAGTAGAAAGCAAACTGAGTAATACTCTGTAGTACTGTATAGTTAAAGCCTAAGTGCAGCCAAAATTGAACATATACAAATCAGCACAAGGGACACAAATTTACTGCGCTTAAAGTGTTACTAAACCCAGGACCCTGCATTCAGTATATCTGGTCTTCCACAGTACACACTACATGGAAATGCAATTATTTCAGTAAATATAAACCAATAAATACCCTTTCACAGCAGTATATACAGTGCCTTGAAAAGGTATTCATACCCCTTACATTTTCCACATTTTATCATCTTTCAACCAAAACCGTAAATGTATTTTATTGGGATTTTATGTGCTAGACCAACACAAAGTGGCACAAAATTGTGAAGTGGAAAGCAAATGAAAAATGGTTTTCAATATTTTTGAAAAATAAATATCTGGAAAGTGTGGCGTGCATTTGTATTCAGCCCCCTTTACTCTGATACCCCTAATTAAAATCTAGTGGAACCAATTGCCTTCAGAAATCACCAAATTAGTAACTAGAGTCCACCTGTGTGTAATTTAATATCAGTATAAATCCAGCTGTTCTGTGAAGCCCTCAAAGGTTTGTTAGAGAACATTTGTGAACAAATAGCATCATGAAGGCTAAGGAACACACGAGCAAGGTCAGGGATAAAATTGTGGAGAGGTTTAATGCAGGGTTATGTTATAAAAAAATATCCCAAGTTTTGAACATCTCATGAAGCACTGTTCAATCCATCATCCAAAAATGGAAAGAAAAAAAACTGCAACTGAAAACCTACCGAGACATGGCCGTCCACCTAAACTGACAGGCTGGGCAAGGAGAGCATTAATCACAGAAGCAGCCAAGAGCCCCATGGTAACTCTGGAGGAGCTTCAGAGATCCATAGCTCAGCTATGAGAATCTGTCCACAGGACAACTATTAGTCATGCACTCCACAAATCTGGCCTTTATGGAAGAGAGGGAAGGGGAAAGCCATTGTTCAAAGAAAGCCATAAGAAGTCCAGTTTGCAAGAAGCCATGTGGGGGACACAGCAAACATGTGGAGGAAGGTGCTCTGGTCAGATGAGACCAAAACTGAACTTTTTGCCCTAAAAGCAAAACGCTGTGTGGTGGAAAAATAACACTGTACATCACCCTGAACACACCATCCCCACTGTGAAACATGGTGGTGGCAGCATCAAGTTGTGGGGATGCTTTTCTTCAGAAGGAACAGGGAAGCTGGTCAGAGTTGATGGGAAGATGAATGGAGCCAAATACAGGGCAATTTTAGAAGAAAACCTGTTAAGAGTCTGCAAGAGACTTGAGACTGGGGCGGAGGTTCACCTTCCAGCAGGACATCCTAAACATACAGCCAGAGCTACAATGGAATAGATTAGATCAAAGCATATCCATGTTAGAATGGCCCAGTCAAAGCCCAGACCTAAATCCAATTGAGAATCTGTGGCAAGACTTGAAAATTTCTGTTCACGGACACTCTCCTTCCAATCTGACCGATCTTGAGCTACTCTGCAAAGAATGGCAAAAATGTCCCTCTAGATGTGCAAAGCTGGTAGAGACATCCCCAAAAAGACTTGCAACTGTAATTGCAGCAAAAAGTGGTTCTACAAAGTATTGAATAAGGAGAGCTGAATACAAATGCACCCACACTTTTTTTTTTTTAATTTTGTAAACCATTTATCATTTTCCTTCCACTTCACAATTATGTGCCACTTCGTGTTGGTTTATCACATAAAAACCCAATAAAATACATTTTTGTTTTTGGTTGCAACATAACAAAATGTGGAAAATTTCAAGGGGTATGAATTCTTTTTCAAGGCACTGTAGCAGTCTTGTGACTATCAGTGTCCGGCCAAGCACTAGTTAATCTGGTAGGAGTTTTCATTCTCCTGTGACTGTCCTATGAGGCTGCATGACCCCTGACCCTCTGTCCGGACAGCCCTGATTGGCCCTGTGCTTATCATATGCACCCTTCCCCCAAAGCAACAAACAGGAGCATGTGCAGACTTGCCACTGCTCATCTAACTATGGCAGATGGATTGGGGACAGCAGAAGAAGGGGAGGATCAAAGAAGACAGGATCAAACAGCCTTTTTGTTTTTTACACAATGCAGAGGATTAACTCTTAAGATCCACAGTGAGTATAACTAGAATGCTTTTAATGCATATACAGACTGATTTTACTTTTGTGGGCTTAGTAACATTTTAAATAAATGCAATAACTACCATATTACAATAAATAAGTGCAATAAAAGTCAATCAATATATAAAGTCTCTCATAAGTGAAGTGCAGCAAGATCAATACTCCATGTAAAAGTTAAAAAAAATAAATCAGGACGTGCAATATAACAAAAATAAAAGTGCACAAAAACCCACAAATTCATGCAAGTCGTAAATTAGTGTTCATAAAAGTGCAATATCCAAAATGAATCTTCTGTCATAATCTCCTTAGGACTTTTTGCATGAATGTTTGTTTTTTTTTTGCACTTTTATTGTTGATATTTTGCAGGTCTTGATTATTATTTAATGTGGTATTTATATTTTATAATTTTTTATTGCATTTATTTAAGCACAGTCACACTATTATACAATTTTCTCTGATGACCAGCGCATCTTCTCATTCTTCAATAAACACTAAAGGATGGAATGACTCCAAGGGGCACTAGTAACATTAAGCAATTTAAATGTAGCACATACAACCTATTTAAATGCAGTGCTAAGACTTTCAGCACTACAGTATTCATGGTAGAATAATTTAGCACTCCTACATCAACATGTAGTTTTAAGTGGAGTTTTTCTACATGTTACCCTTTTTACACCTAACAAGTGGAATGTAGTTGGCTGCAATTGGATGCATTTTGGACTGCACTTCAACTGCATAAAAAGTCCAAAATCCAGGCTATCCTATGGGCCTAGTTCACACCAGTGCAATGCAGAAAAATACAGCATGCTGCTTTTGTCTGCACCGCAAATGCACAAAAACGAATGCAAATAAACTGCAACGCATCACTTCATTGGTCACATGCCTGATGAAGGGGTCCTGTGAGACTCCAAAACGTTGCCTTGCTGTAACTATGCGATCATTCATTAAAACTTTTGAACCCATACTGGTGATCCTCGGTGTGCTGGTGACATTCTGCCTTGCTGATTCTGTTCAGTTCCAGCCGACAGTCGCTGCAGCAGCACCCACTTATACACACAGCCATTTTTAACGCAGGAACATGTGTGTTGGGATTGTACACTTGTATCACAGCGCACACAGAAGCACAAGGAAACAGACATGACCTCAGCTCAAATGCAGACAGAAAAACGTATGTCAACTGCATGCATAGGTACAAGGAAAAATAAGCAGTTATGTGCAGTTTCTGGTGTGAATGGGCCCTAAAAAATATTTTCACGTTGCTTCATTTTTAGAAGCAGGCTAGATATGACCCACATTTTCATTGTTTTTGGATAATCTCACATACTGATATGCACCATAGATGGCTGTTAGACAAATGGAAATATGACCAAACCCTGCTGCCAGTCACAAGTACAAAAAGCATGCACTGTCCACATTTGAATGTATACATATATACTGAAAGTGTCCTCACAATGGCCAATACCTTGAAACGGATGATGTATGCAGCGATCAAAACACCAATGCTTTGAGCAAGATCTCCAAGCGCATGTACAAATGCTGCTCTCACCGCCAGGCTTCCATGGCTGTGCCCATGAGGGTTGGGAGAAGAACTTGTAGGAGCGCTATGAGAATGCGAGTGGGAATGAGGATGACCTGCCTGGTTTAACAGAAACCCCATTCTGTAAACAAAAGAAAAAAAATGTCAGTAACTGAAAATGAAAATCCATACAAAAAAAGATACTCTACAGATTTTTGCAAGTGTCACCTTGATTTAACTATGAGCAGTCAATATTGGAGTTCATTCAAAGTAAACTATGTCATGCGTACAAAGTAAATGCCAACAGCCGATTAAACAAGAGAGAATAAAGGGTTCTTTCTGAGCACACCTACATGAAAGCAGTGAAGAAACAGAAAGCACCTTTATTGTAATAAATCAAATAGCAAAGCACTTGGTTCATTTATCTGTGTATATAGAATATTGTGGTGTCAGATTGTTCGGATTTCCTGCTAGTTTTACTACAAGCGTGTCTTCCTGACTCCTGGTACAGTTTGCCAAGTGGATGGGAGGCACAAGTATCACCCATTAAAATTACTATTATAGCATCTGTTTTTTTAAGCACTTACAGATGCAGATTAAATCCCTTACTGTATATTATAGTTTCTTCATCTTTTAATCCTTCCCTATGTTCCAGTTTAAGCTGAAACTATGACCGCTGCCGAAGGCTTCCTGTTTCAGGGTGGCTACCTTCTCCTGCAGCATCCAATGGAGTCACCCTTTCATGAACGGATTACAGTTGTGTCTCCCTACACTGTGTGCATCAAGAGAAACACACATCCCAGCAGCCTAGGATGACAAGGCATTCCCTGCTCCTCCCCCACCTGTCTCCAACAGACTGGCTCCAGACTGCACTATCCACTATTAACTCTTTATTGTGAAGACCAGAAGTTCACAGCACAGAGAGCAGCGAACCAACCACACTGAGGGTTGGTTCACACCAGATGCAGTCCAGTGTGTTTTTAATCTACATCATAAATGCATGCACTGTGTTTTCTATGTATTCCAATGGCTCTTGTTTACACCAGTGAAGTCCAGAAAACTAGGACCTACTGTATTTTTTCTATATGGAACACCTCAGTAAAATGCATGTAAACAAACTGAAAGGCATGTAAAAGCACTGGAATGCACATTGTCCTGAGATTTTTCAAGTGCCAAAGAGCAAAAAAAATGCACTGGAATGCAGTGAACAAGCATCAAAATATGTGTAAATATGCACAATCATCTAAAACACAGAAATTATGGTGTGAACCAGTCATGAATGCTGTAAACTGCAAGTGCTGAGATAAGAATTTTAACAGTTAAAGAGGAATTCCAGGTATGGCAAGTTTTCCATAGTTGCATCAGTCCAGCTTGGATCACTGTAAGTACATTTGTGCCATACCTATGGGATCCCAATGGAAGCTGGAAATACTTGTAGTAGGCACCACTACTTCAGTGATCGCTGCTAGCTTCCGGGTTCTCAGTCAGGGAATTGTGAACACAGGAAGCTGCTTGCTGACCACAGGTGACATTCAGGGAACACTTTACATTTTCTCAATGAATGCAAAGGAATCCCACTTACATGGCACATACATACTAAGGCATTGTTCTCACGGGGTGTACTTAAAACATACACCCATGCAAGCCCACATGGAGATGCACAGGTGTTTCATACATCCCTATGTAGGCAGTGCCATTCATGTCAATTTGGACACAGTTGCTGTGTGGGTGTGTGTCCTCGAAAGCAGACAGTATGAGTTCAAGGACACACACCTGCACCCATACGGATGTCAAACTGAGAGCAGCGGCTGTGTCCACGCAGCTGCTGCGTCCCAATTGACATGGATTGAGACTGCCTGCATGGGTATGCATGGAACAGCTGAGCATTCCTGTGTGGGCAAACAGAGCTCTTGCATGGGTTTCTGCTTGTACATGTAACAATTGCCATACCTGGAAATCAGTTTTATAAAGGGAAATGTTTATTATATTATGTTCATTGTGTTAAAGTGGTTGTAAAGGCTGAAGGTTTTTTTTTTATCTTCATGCATTCTATGCATGGAGGTAAAAAAGCCTGTGTGCGGCTCCCTCCACAGCCCCTCCCTTATACTCACCTGAGCACCCTCTCGATCCAGAAATGTGCACTGGAGCCTTGGCTGTCCCGGGTCTCTCTCTGCTCTTTGGCTGAAACAGCAACGGGAGCCATTGGATCCCACTGCTGTCAATCACAGCCAGTGAGAAGAGACCACAGGGGGTTGGGGCGGAGCCGAGCAGGGGCTCTTTGTGCATTGTGGACGCATAGACTGGAGCTTTAGAGCGAGGACGCACCGGTGCCCCATAGCAAGCGGTTTGCTACTGGGGGCCCTGGTCAATGGGGTGGAGCCAGGAGCACCAGCGGGGGCCCCAAGAAAAGCAGGATCAGGGCTGCTCTGTGCAAAACCATTACACAGAGCAGGTGAGTATAGCATTTTTTTTTTGTTTCCTTTATAAACAAACCTTTAGAATCACTTTAAGCTATAAAGCGCTAAGGGTTCAATACTACTTTAAAGGGTAACTCCTCTTTCATGGAAAAATATATAGCAAATACAAAAGTTATAATCTAGTATATACAATTGCGACACAAGCCATATTGTAATGTAAGGTTATTAAAAATTACCTCTCCTTTTCAAACTGCAGCATTGTAATTTTCTGTAAAAGTCAATGCAATATGGTAACCTTGAAGCATTCTGTCCACAGTTGGTGTACACAACACCCCCAGTAATGTCATTTTCTGCAGGTACAAGTCAGGTTTTGGCATGCTCTGCCACAAAAATGTCATTTTTGGTGAGATATGCCTTATGGGTTAATCCATTTTGAGTGTTTTGATGGAAAAAGTGCCTCCGCAATCACTTTAAAAGTGCACCAGCTTATTAAAATGTTGGACAGTCCTATTCAAGATCGGTATCCAAAAGACAAAAAAAATTTTTTTTTTTTGCTTTCTGTAACAGTTTGTTACAATCCTTGCAATGTACATTGATCACCCTGAAGAGATATTTTGGGTTTTTTTTCCCCATTAGGCTCCATGCACACTGGGCATTTTTAATAACTGGTAGCATTAGCTGTGTAAAGTCACATTAAAAACGTGAGTTTTTCAGCATTTTTGCATTAGTGTTCAGCCGTGTTTTTTAGCAGAAAAATCATTTTAATTTTTTGCTCACAAAAAGTCCAAAAACTCCAGTTTGCTGCATTTTTCAGCGTTCGAGCATTTTTAGAGCTAAAAAACTCCTCTAGAATCCCACTAGTTATGGGGTTTTTCCCAGCCAGAAAATCACTGATTAAAGCCTATGTGTGCCTGGACACATAGGATAACATGCTGGGGAGTTTACTGGCTGTAGAAAAAAACCACCAAAGGCCAAAAACAGCCGCTGTAAAAACGTCCAGTGTGCATGAGGACTAAAAGTGGAGTGATCCTTTAGTCATTTAATAGGACTGGCTGTAAGAGGGAGAAAGCAAGGGTAATATGATCATACCCTTTGCTATCACAGCAACGTATGTCATTTTACCCTGAGCAAGTACAGTCACCCAAGAACTCTACAAACATTCTAGTAGTTGGTAACAAATTCTTAGTCTTATAGCATACATACATGTGTTTTAATTGGTAGTAACGGAGAACTATATGTATTCCTAAAAATTCTGCCTCCCCCTCCTAATACCTATACTGCATAGCCTGTATAAAGAAGACCTGTGTACTTACCTTTTTTCAATCCACTCCGATGCAGTCACCTGATCCAGCAGCTCTGGTTTCTGTGTTAGGGCTCCTTCACACTTGACTGTTTTTCCAACTCTTGCCAAACGCCCCTAAGGCGTTTGCCAAGCGTTGGTCCAGCGTTTGCGGAGCGTTTTTAACGCTCCGCAAACGCCACATGCGCGGTTTAGCGGCGGTTTGCTAGGCGTTTGCCAAGCGTTAAAAACGCCACACAAATGCCTATAATGAAGCTTGAATGGTGTTAACGCTCTGCAAACACCACACAACCGCGTCGCAAGCGCACCGCAAACGCCGCCGGCCAGGTGCGTTTGCGGAGCAGCACCACAGACTTGAATAGGAGGCTTCAACTCCTCCTGACTCGACAAAAGGTGTCCGTTTTGCCGCGACACTAACGCTCCTGTTTGAACAGCACCATGTGCTGCAATGTGCAGAATTTTCCCAGGCATTTGGGAAACGGTAAAAACGCTTCCCAAACGCCTGTCTGCCGCTTGCTAACAAGGCTAGTGTGAACGTAGCCTAAGGGAGCGCTCAACAATGGCTCTGAATTTCCAAAACCTTGACATCACTTTCCTGCTTCCAATGCTCGTGTGTTGGTGCTTCCTCCTTCCCCTTCAACAATTCCTCACTGACTGCTCCGAAGCAGATTAAAAAAGGTATCGATAGTATTTTTTTTTTTTTAATAGACTATGCAGAATAGGTAGAAGGAGGGGGGAGGAAGCGTATTTAGGAATACTTAGTTATTGTTAGCTTCCACTTTAAGGGAGGTTGTACTTTTTTTTTTTTTTTTTTAACTTTGGTCACCGAATGTACTATAGAGAACAATTATCCATATGTAAACCTTGTGTAAATGGTTTGTAGAGGCTGGCGAGCGCACCTACGTTCATGCAGTTAATGTATGAAATAATGGTTCCAAGTTTAGGCCTGTGCTCCATCCAATTATTATAAAGTTCAATACTGATCAGAAATGTCTGACAAAAAGCTGATTTTGTCCATTTGAATCCGACTCACTCAAATAATAAGTAAATGCACACATACAGATAGCCTTTGTTGTAACTTACATGAGGTTTACAGCAACGCCAACAGCTGCAGTTATCAACATTACATCTCCATTAATAGTATAATCCATATGGATAGTCCTCTGCACTGCTTCATAGAGCAGGAAGCCTGTGAGAATGTACACCAATAATACACTAATAATGGCAGACAGGACCTCTGCAATAGGAAAAAACAAACAATAAAACAATAGGAAAAAGTAGCAGGCTCAGTAATGCATTTATCAAGAGCTCGCTGCAATGCAATGGTGTTACACAGCTGCACACATTTTTTTTTAGAGCAGATTTAAACCCAATCACTTAAACCGCACAGG